TTGGCAATGTAACAGTTCTGGCTGCGCCAGCTTTTATTATAATATATATAGGGCGGCAGAAATAACAAGGGAAAAGACCCTTGTGCCCCTGCTATAAGTGAGTACAATAACAGACATAACAGAAGTAAAAAAATAGAAATAAAAAACGCTTTAACTAGCCAAACAGACCCTGACACCAACAACTAAATTATTTCAACAAAGTTAAACTTTGGTAATTTACAGAGAAGCCCCTAGTTGGGCAGAAAATTAAAAAGACATAACATAAGGAAGAATAAGCCCAGATTAAGGCCCATTACAGCATAGAACATAAAAGATAAAAAAAGATAAATAGCTTATGGGCCCCATTCAGCCCATCTTCTCTACAATTCCCTAGCCCAGGAGTTCTCCACAACAGATTCCCCTAGTAATCCCTGTTCTTGCTAAATAATCAGCCAAGAAATTGGCATCTCTTGCGACCCACTTGAATGAGCTGTCCAGGCTGTGGCTCATTGATCTTGCTTCTTTGACTAGAAATCCAGAAATCCAAGGTGACTCTTCCCCTGATCTCAACCAAAGATTAACCACTTGGCAGTCACCTCCAACGATCAGGTCTGTCCAGCCACTCGGGGAAGCCTATTTTAGACCTTGAATGAGTAAGGTGTTTCTCCTAAGCCCTATCATCTCTCACCACTCCTATGCCTGATGTGCCCTGGTTGCCTAGACTACAACCATCAAAATTTAGTTGCGTTGTATCCATTTTGGAGCCCTCTATTCTACAAGTCTTTTCTGATAGAAAAAACCTGCAATAGTCTAGCAGCCTCTCAATAGATGAGCAGTTGTAATACCCTTGGGTTTTCACGTACCAAAATCCAATATGCTTCTCTCACCATGATGGGGTCTATCACAGAATGTAAATTATGTTCTTTCTTCTCAAAAATAGTATTTCTTTAAAGAATTCTAAATAATAATTAATAATCAATTGAAAAGTTGTATGCCTATCTTCTTGCTATATTTATTGCTCTTTCATGCTTTCATTCTTTTAATATTAACATATGTCATTACTTTTATCAGGAAGTTGCTGTAAAAAAGTTCTTAGACCAAGATATTTCTGGTGATGCACTTGAAGAATTCAGAAGTGAGGTAGCTTCTCTCTTTGAGCCACCAAGACATATGATCCTTATAATAGCTAAAAAAGATGGCAAAGGCATCTTATTTCATAAATATTTACTGCTTCTTGTTGAGCTCGTATATATTAATAATCTCATTTGCTTTGGTTACAAATATATTGAACATAAATATGCTAATTTGTTTTGATTCTTACTTAAATATGCCAATTTAGACTTTTACATGTTTCCTAGCCATTGAAGAAACTTCCTGACCCGGCTTATGTTCCTGTACTAAATAAGTACTGTTGAACTCTTTAATTTATGGTGTGATGGGTTTAAATGGTGATACATAATGCTCAATCTCACTAAATCAAGAATTGCTTCAATCTGTAAACGCATTAGTTCTCTACAACGATGCAATGTTATCAATATTGTTATTGTAGATAGAAGAAATTTCTTTGTCCTAAATTCCCAATAGTTTTGGTGTATTATATACCTGAAAATTCTCATGTATTATAAACTTGTGGTTGGCATCAATCCACCACAATCGTGATGCGTTAGAAGTCATGTTTTGATATGGAGAATGTTAGAATAATGTTAAAATAACTTAGTTGCAGATGTTAGGGCCTGTTTGGCTAATTAAAGTGTTTTTTTATTTCGTTTTTTTTATTTCTGTTATGTC